AAAAAAAAAGGTCAGAGTTTGATGCTGTGGGTAATTGAATGAATTCCTGATGTAAGAGGAACCAAAATGTCAAACTGTGCTTCGAAGCCTAATGCCCCATAAAAAAGTTAAATTTGTATGTTTTATTTGTATATTGATTGTAAACATCCCAAATGTTTGTTAAGTGCTCCATCTGGCTTTCACTAATTAGTTTAATCCTCAGGCAAATGCGTTGCTGGAAAGAAAGAATTTCTTTCCAGCAACGAGGAAATGTGGCACACAATGTAAAAAATGCATAATTCCATAACTAAGAGCAATAAGCTTTTGAAAAATAATATTGTAGTGACCTTTTTGCATTTTTGCGCACAGCACTTATAAACCCTAAAACATGATCTATTTTACATTCACAATCGTTTAATCTTCTGTTGCATAAACACACTTATATAATTTCGAACCTTTTGAGATCTCAAATCTCTGTCTCAAAGATCTTCTCATTCTTCCATTGCGATACACTTTGGTCTTACTAATATGATTCCCCATCGCTCGGATGAAGCTTTTCACTTCATTGCATTCGACAAAGCAGAATCACATGCTCAGATCATCCACAAAGTGAACAAGATATTAGAAATGGACAAAACACTAAGCAGTGCTTAGTGTTCAGTCCCCTCTTCCTTGCAAAATAAGTTACTAGAGTACTGATCTAGGCTCAAACAACATGTATAAGGTTTATTGGTTGTTTACGCTGGCTCGAACATCACAAGCTAATCACAGTATGGGAGCTTCCAAAAAGATTAGTCAGCTTCTCGAAAATGTCAGAACTACGAATGGTTCGCAAAGACGAAAACTTTTTATCAGGACTAATAAGGAACTTGCATGTCTATCTACCCGTCAGGTGGATGAAAAACAAAGGGATATTTACTCCATTGTTGTACTCGATAACGAAAAGGAAGTTTTACATGACAAAACTTTTACATCTCTTAACAGTTTTCGGATACATTCGGTTAATTCGATGTACGAATCTCTTGAAAGCTCTGAAAAAGACATTTTTAAGAAATACAATCTATGAAAAAACCTGGTTTTTTAGACCAAGAAGTTACTATTCACAGCAACTCACCTATACCTCAGCCTTGTCTGATGTTCTACAACAGCCGAGTCCATACTAGTCGTGACGGTTTTGATACCTCGATGGACGTTGAAAAGTTGTGATGCCAGCAAAAATGTGTAGTTAGCTCGGCAAAGTTCGTAAGCCTAAGTTTCACCAAAATCATCTAAGTTCAGATGTTCATTTGAAAAGGTAAGATTTCTTAGATGACCTGGAAAACCGCTGTTTTGTCATAAACTAAACTCTCACCAATGCCTGCTGATCTCTAAGACGAGTTGGCATTCCTTCTTCACTCATCGGATCTGTAGCATGCATGATGAATTGAGGTTCCCAGGAAGGATTTCTGTAAAAATTGATTTTGAAGGCTTTACGTAAGTTTAAGGGAGTCTTCTATGCCATAAAATTTTGTCGTATTTGAAATATGTGAAATGCAAACTTACTTGTATGGGATCTCCCAAACATAAGGTTCCGGTTGCGATTTGGACCTTCTAAACCATTCCCAGAGTGCTTCGATGGTATGACCAAGAGGAAATAGCTGGTGATGATACTCATATGCTCTTAAATGATAACCTTATCTTATTTTATTAAACATGAATGTTCTAGAGAAGACGTAGATCTAACTACAAAGCATTTTGAACAGAAAATATCGAATTTTTCAACGAACATACTTTTAATGAGACAGAAATATAATGTTGATGAGTAAAAGTATAATGATAACAAAAAACACATGTAACTCATTTGTGAGTCACTTTTTAAACTCATTGTGATAAATTATTTCCAT